GAGGGAGAGAGAGATGGAAAGACAGAGAGAGATGGAGAGAGAAAGTGCGATGGAAATAGCTAGAGAGATGGAGGGAGAGAGAGATGGAAAGACAGAGAGAGATGGAGAGAGAAATGAAAAGAGATGGAGAGACAGAGGGAAGAGAGGTGGAAATAGCTAGAGGGGGCGAGAGAAATGGAAAAAGAGATGGAGAGAGAGAGAGAAAGAGATGGAAAGAGGGAGATGCGGAGAGAGAAAGAGATATGGAAATAGCTAGAGAGATTGAGGGGGAAGAGAGAGATGGATATACATACATACATACATACACACACACACACACACACACACACACACATATATATATATATACACACACACACATATATATACATACACACACACATACAGAGATGGAGAGAGAAAGTGCGATGGAAATAGCTAGAGAGATGGAGGGAGAGAGAGATGGAAAGACAGAGAGAGATGGAGAGAGGGATGGGAAAAGATGGAGAGATGGAAGAGATGAAGGGAAATGGAGGGAGAGAGAGAGAGGGAGAGGAAGAAAGAGAGAGTAGAGAGGAAAGAGGGAGAGAGACAAAAGAGATTGAGAAGGAGAGAAACTTTCTTTAAACTCAGGCTTTATTACCAGATAACATATTTTCGCCTTCCAGATTTTCTGTCAAGAATTCGCACGACCAAAAGGCCAAAAAGGGCAACCACGGGGTACTTGCAGAGTGGCTCTGTTGACATTGAACAGCTTCTGGGGGCAAACCAAAGCTGCCCCCCACCCCCCAAATAGGACGGAGGAAGGGGGAGGGAGCTGCGCTCAGGGATGGGCCCCGTCTCAGGAGAGCAAGTGAAACTTCACATCGATGCCCACCTCTTTCGCCAACGTCATGATCTCAGCGAGCGTGACGGCCATCACGGCTGCCCGGTCCAGATCGTCGCAAGCCAGAATCTTCAAGCCGCTCTCGGCGATCAGGACTTTGGCATCGGCCACCCGGGTCCCTTGCAAGCGCACCACGATGGGGATCTTCAGCTCCAGGTCCTCGACGGACATGATGATCCCATGGGCGATGACGTCGCACCGCATTATCCCGCCGAAGATGTTGACCAGAATCGCCTGGACCTTCTCGTCGGAGGTGATCAGCTTGAAGGCCTCGGTGACTTGCTCCACTGTGGCCCCTCCGCCCACGCTGAGGTAGTTGGCTGGCTCACCGCCATGTAGCTTGATGATGTCCATGGTGGCCATGGCCAAGCCCGCCCCATTGACCAAACAGCCGATGTTCCCGTCCAACGCGATGTAGTTCAGATCCGCATTGGCTGCCTCCCTCTCCTTCTCGTCCATCTGGGTCCAATCCTGCAGCTCAAAGACCTTCTGCTGACGGAAGGCCGAGTTGCTGTCGAAAATGACCTTGGCGTCCATGCACATCACCCTCCCGGTGGAGTCCTCCACCAGTGGGTTGATCTCCAGCATGACCACGTCGTAGTCGATGAAGAAGTTGTACAACTTGACCATGGTGTCCGCTGCTTCTTCTGCCACCTGTGGAGGGAAGCCCATCTTCCCGGCCAACGGAACGGCCTGGCTCATGCGGAGGCCCGTCACGATGTCCACCGGCTCCTTCAGGATAGACGCCGGTTTCTCAGCTGCCACGTCTTCGATTTGGATGCCGCCCTTAGAGCTGGCGATGATGACCGGTCCCTGGAAGTCCCTCTCCATGGTGATGGCAAAGTAATACTCCTTCCGCAGGTAACGGCGTTCGCAGACAAAAACCTGGTTACAGATCCGTCCTTTCTCCCCTGTCTGCTTGGTGAAGAGCCTCTTGCCGATCATTTGAGCGGCCACCTCCTTGGCCTCCTCCGGAGAACACACAATCTGCACGCCCCCCTTCAGGCCCCCTTCGAAGACTCCCGTCTCCCGTCCCCCGGCAACCACCTGGGCCTTCACCACCAAGTCATTGGTGCCGATCTTCCTCGCCACTTTGTACGCTTCTTCTGGTGTCCTCGCCACCAAGCCATACGGGACGGAAACGCCGGCCTCCTTCAACAGCTTCATGCTGAGGTATTCATGGATGGAGAGGTGCCGGAGACGTTGGCGTGGGAGTTGCCAGCTGGGAGACGTCGTGGAAAATCGGTGGCGGGTCCCGAGCCCCAAGGCCCTGGCACCCCGGCCTGTCCAGAAGACCTTGGTCCATATCAGTTGGGCTGCTCTGCCTGCCTGTGTCCAGAACATGGAAATGGCTAGATAGCCAAGGTGAGCCTTTGGGATCTCCTCCAATGGAGGAGACCTTCCAACTGGCTGTTATGGTTTGGAGAAAAAATAGGCCGCTGCTTCCTGCTGCTTTCTCATTGGCTGAAGCCAGAGGTTTTGTGACCTCACCTGCTTCTGTCCCGCCTCCTTGATTCTCCCGAGAGAAAACCCCAAGATGGAGGCCTTTCTTTCTCTTCAGGAGGAACTTGGAGCTTCACTGCTTCTGACCTTCCCAGAGGCTTCCCGAGGAACAGATACAATAATACAATAATACAATAATGCAGAGTTGGAAGGGACCTTGGAGGTCTTCTAGTCCAACCCCCTGCCTAGGCAGGAAACCCTA